TTTTTTTTTTCATATAAATAATATTTTAGATTCGTTCAATTGTTGCTGATTGTGCTCGTGTAAATAAAGACAATAATAATACATCATCAAAAACACTTACAAGTGAATTATTGAGTCAAACATTACTTAATACAACAACAACAACAGATAATAATAATCAAACAACAACAAATACTCAACAAAGTACTAATAGTACATTAGATATAAATGATTTCTTTGATTGATAAAAGTAAAATTTATTTCGATGAATAAAAAGCTGCTTTTTTTTTCTTTTCTAATAAACATTGAATCAAAAACTAGATTCAAATTTTTGTAATGCGATAAACGTAAAAATAAAATTAGCTGACCTATTTAGCTCATTTTTAACAATTTTAATGATCAAGAGATATGAGCCTGAAAGTCTACAATTGAGATATTTGTAAGCATCATCAAAATCTCAACCCTTGAATATTGAGCTAACCCTTTCTCATCGTATAATGAGAATCTTGGATCATGTTGCATAAATTTATTATGCTTATGAAAAGTTAGTCAAGTGTTCGAAGTTAATTTCGATCTAAACTAAAGATTTTTCACCTCGAAATTTCAAGCTCAATTTTCTGAACTACTTTTAACCGACTCTCATATAATTCCAATAGCTAATAGTTTTTCAGTTCATGCTTTCATTATAAAATATTAGAAAAAATTTTGTTAATTACTAGCATCATACTATTGTGAAAATATTTAAATTGTTAAGAAATCTTAAAATAGAAAGTCTAATACAAAAATCATACTATCTTTCTGTCAGTAATCATATCCTTTTACAAATTGAGATATCTTTCAACTATATTAAATAATTATATCAAATAAGAATAGATCGAATTTCTCAATTGTAAAGAAATTATATCATTATTAAAAAAAAAAGTCAATCGAAGTTTAGTACGACTTTTAATTTTGATTAACACAATTAGTATTAAATGTATGTGTTTGTCACTTTAGTCGTTCTTTTCTATCGCTTAATCTGCACATCTAAAATAGCATTACCTTACTGACCTTTGATATGTGTAGATAAAGTTTAAATTAAATTATTGCGAGCAGTAATGAACCGGTCGGCACACATATTATCTATACCGAACAGACGAAAATATAACTTTTTTTTGTAATATTGAAAAGCGAGACATTATTCTTTGCTAGGAAAGCAAAAAGAATGTCTTAGACTATTTGTGATAGATAAAAAGATAGGTTAAGAATCAAGAAATTATTCATTAAAGAATAAGTTTTATAGAAACTGAAATTATAGAATGAAAATAGATATCATCAAAATTAATCACATTTAAACTTTGTCCAACTATTTCAAATAATTCTCTATAATTCATTTAGATTTTTTATTTCTCTGTTTAATTTTATCTATAAATTTCATATTTATATACAACTATTTATTCAAAATGACTCACTAGTAGATATATATGATGTTCGACATTGTTAAACTAAGAATCATATTATTTTTACATACATGAAATTTATTTCTATTAATTGAGATAAATAAAACTCAAAATTCATAATTTCATTCTACGAGAAATGCGAAAATTTTTAAAAAATCATTGTTTTTCTTTTTACATTTTCTAAATGATTCGTTTCCTCATTACCTTGAATCTGAGAACAAAATAGAATTTGGGCCTATACACACACATATTACATAGAATTGTATGTTTGTATGATAGACAAAAAGAAAAGAAAAAAGAACACCATGAAATGTCGGCATTATACATACCTACACGTTAGTTTATCGTTTTTGTTTTGTTTTTTTTGCTTCGACTTCATTGGCATCATATTCGTGTTTAAAAAAGAAAGAAAGAAAGACAAATAAATACAAATCTAAAATGACTATTGATATAATTGCTAATAAGGCTGATTTTCAACGACATTTAAATGGTTGTGAACGACGTTTAAATGATTTAACAAAATCTCTTCAAATAATAGAAAATTTATCTCAAAACTTATTACAAAATAATAATAATCAAGAAAAACAAGAATTATATTTTAATCAATTAAATGATATTATATCACAAATAAAATTTCTTTATTCATCTATATTAAAATTAGAACAATGTTCATATTCATTTCATGGAAAAAAACGTTTAAATTTTTTAAAAATAAATCTTGAAAAAAATCAAATAAAATTTGAACAAATACAAAAATATTCTCAAACAAAATTTGGTTATGAATATAAAGAAAATGATATTCAACAATATAATAATGAACAACAAGAACAATTAATAAAATTAATTAATAAAAATTTTAATGATAAACAAATTGAATTAGATTATATTCATCAACATAATATTTTAGTTAATCATATTGAAAAAGATTTAACTGATTTAAATGATACATTTCATGATTTACATCGTATTGTACATGAACAAGGTACAATGGTTAATAATATTGAATTATCATTAACAAATACAGATAATATGATATATGAAGCAACAGAAAATGTTAAAACAACTGTACAAATAAAAAAACGTACAAAACATATAAAATGGATTTTAATTATTATTTTAATTATTGCTTTTCTTCTTCTTATAATTATTATTTATTTTTCAATTAAATTATCTTCTCCTCTTCGTTAAATAAAAAAAAGAAAAGAAAAGAAAATTAAAATATTTTTATTATTTTAGATTAAAAATGATTTCTGATATACAATTAGCTATTATGGTTAATATACTTAATGTTGTCATGTTTATACTTATTATACTTTATCATTATATTAATTCATCAACCATAAAAACAAAGTTAAATAGTAAGAGTTTTATTTTGACTCAAAAAAAAAAAAAGTATAGATATATATATATATTTGTTTCTGTTTTTGTTGTTGTAGAATAACAATGATGAACATGATTTGGACAGAACAATTTTTTCTTAATACTTTATTGTTGTTTTCATTTTGACAAAAAAAAACTAATAAACATTTCTGAAATAAAAATTGAATTATTTGTCAAAAAAAAAAATTTTATTTAAAGAATCTAAGATATTCATACTATATGATATACAAAACTAGTTTTATTTTAGTCAATGAATAAATCTATTGTTTAGTTAAATCGAATCAAAATGCTATAAAAACAAACAAATTGATGAATATCATTTTTTTGTAGGAAAGAAAAATGATGAATAAACTAAATAACTATTTGCGTGTGGAAATAAATAAATTTATCGATAATTTATATAGTCATCATAGGAAAAATTTTGTTTTCATCTCAACTAGAATTCTGAGAAAGTATCACTGAACCAATCAGTTCCATCTCTGAGATATCCTATGCAAGGACATTCATAGAGAGAGAACTGAGGGGAATCGAACCCTTCTACTCTCTCAGGAAAAAGTTGCACTATCAATTTACAATGTTTGTGTTGGTGCCAATACTTCGTTTGTTATAATTAATGTTAAACATATGTATGCATAATGTATATATGAAATCAATTCAATCTTTTGTTTTTTTCCTCTACAGAATAGTTATCAAATATGAATAAAAATGAATATATATAATTATCATACACGAGCAAAAGTCTCATGAAAATTATATGAAAAAAATTTGATCTCCTCCCCAGCCGAAAATCCTGCAACGATGTCTGATCCTATGCTTATCTTGATTAAGCATCTTTAAAAAGAAAGAGAGATAATGAATGACAACCATACACTATTCATGCTTGGCATCGCAATAATACCCAAAATCATTATTCATATATCAAATCCATGGTAATCATATCTATACATCATAGGTTATAAATAATTAAATAACTACTAATCATTATAAAAAAAGAAATGATTGATCTTGCTAGAAATCTAATGTGACAAAATTGATTTTCTTTGTTTTTAACATTAATTGAAAAGTTCTTTGTTTTTTTTTTATTGTACACAAAAGTATTACATAACTTACAGTCAATATGAAACTTTGGTGAAAAATGTATTTTCTTTTATTAATAAGTTTTAACTATAGAATTACAGAAATCGCCTTATAAGATTAAAGCGTAAAATCGGAATATAACATGAACAGAGAAGATTGATAAACTAGAAATAAAGATGAAAATGAGTTGATTTAGTATAAAGGTGTCATTAGTTAAATCGTGATGGCTTTCTCAGACTGAATAACAGGAAACACGTACCTCAGATTTTATCTTTCGATAATACTTATTCAGAAGTTTTATGATTTCGATTATGTTATTTTCGAGAACTATCTCTCTTCAATAAGATTTTCTTCTTAAAATGATGTTGAATAATCTCAAAAATATATGCATATGAACCAGAGAAAAGAAGTTCAAAAATCAATTTCATACGGAACATAGAATAGAGAACCAAACTAAAAATAAATGATGTGGAATATGCATTTATAAATTAGTAATACAACATTATTGCGAATAAATTTTTGTCACCTATACTATTTACTTATTATCTAAGATATAAATATAAGTTGTTAGAATTACTAAGAGTGATCTTTGACTAAAAAAAACAATTATTAAGATTAATAAATAAATCATATATGATGAAGCTATAATAATCTAATTACGTTTAGTATTTCTTGAGATTAGATCTAATGATTTGAAAATGTTCATATATATGATTTTTATTCCATTATTATTTAAACTAAATAAAAATAAATCTTATTTTCATTTACTATTCATATTTTAATTACTACAGAAATATAAAATCAATAAATTTAATGTTTTATTATCATTTAACATAATTGTAGATATTAAAAGATATATACAAGACTTTGTTATTTATCTTTGATCATCAACGAAATCTTTTCAATAAAGAATAACAAATAATATGATTGATTAGTAAGAATAATCATCTAT